TTATTTATAAATTATGTTTCTCCATTCTTACCAAAGGCGGAAACCCGAACTTTCTTTTAACCAGGAGCTAATTAAGCACTTCAACCAAAATCAAATGAAAATGAAATATTTCGTAGGGGGGGAGTAAGGGGACCGTCGCTCACTGGTAAAAAATGGCACACTGGCTGGGGAAGGGAGGCCCGGTGGCTCAGAGCTGATAAAAATCCGGGGAAGAAAAGTTTTTGAGTTTTAAAGGCCATTTGGGGGGGCCCCTGTTTAGACGAAATAACAGGGCTTTCCGAAATGGGGACCTTTTAGGCCGACGATTATTGGGGACCACGTACGTCAAAAACCCTGGGGCTAAACCGTACAGTATTTCCGAAAACCCCCAAAGAATTAAAAAACACCCCTTGAGCGATAAAAGCACATGCATTTTACTCATTAAATTTCCTTTAAAAAATTTGTAGTCTTAAGTAAAGGGTAAAAGAATAAAGGAGAGAGAGAGAAAATGATAAAAGGAGGAGAAGATCAAAGTATGTAAACAACAGATGAACACACTGGTTTTGGTTTATACACGTTCATAACACATAACCTCATATTTTTGTTAATTTATTTTACTCTGGGGTAAATTTTTTTCATGTTTATATGTTATGTAGCATGTTTATTATATAATTTTGAAAAAAAAAAATCATAGGTGGATTAATGAAAATGTTTATACATGTACCATCCGACTTACGACTGAGCTTGGTTCCGACCAACCAGTTGTAAGTCAAAATGGATGCAAGTCAAACCTTAGAAAACTGCCGATAGGGATACTTCAAAAATTAAATCTTAATCTTGTAAAGCAATCATTCTTTTATGTTGGTTGTGGAAATCACTTCACTTCGTTAATAATTATTGATTAGTTTTCACAAAATAGGTGAATAACTTACTTCCGAGATAATGGTCGAAAGCGTGCGCATACCCGAGTGCTCGGAAAATATATATTTTTTTTTTGAAAAACCCTTTTTTTCAGTGTTTTCATAAGCTATGAGTGTCCGTTACAGTTTGCCCTTGTGCTAGATCCGTTTTCTCTCATAAGAGTGACGAAAGAAGGGATAATAAGCTTTATGGTCGGTGGTGTCCACAAAGTCCCTTTCCTATCTGCGCAGCAGGCCTTCATATTATGCTAGATAATATTTATTCTGGCTTATTTTTTATGTTTCTATGCTATTGATATTTCACCTTATGTCATAATAGATCAATTGTTATAGGAAAATAAGCCTTATTGTTGATATTAGCATAAGAATAGAACATTTTGTTGGCTGCTCTCTCTTGCTTGTGTCAGCACTTCTATCCAGAAGGTTCCTGTATATCAACATCACAGTTATTGTAATAATTTTATTTTATTATTTTTGTATTTAATTTTTTACTTTACTTTTTATGCTGTTAGTACTGTATTTTATACTGTAAGGTTTAGGAGAAATACTGCACAGCATGAACAGTTGTTTATTTCCGAGAACATTTGCAGCTGGTACATGAGAAAGAAAGGTTACAAAAGCTATGGCTTGGGTAGCATAAAAAATAGGTTGGGCAAATGTATATGGATGGATTTGAGAAGGTATGTTTCAATGTCCCTCCTCTGTTACATAAGAACATAAGAAAGGAGGAACACTGCAGCAGGCCTGTTGGCCCAAACTGGGCATGCCTTCTCAAATCCATCCATCCATATACATTTGCCCGACCTATATTTTATGCTACCCAAGCCATAGCTTTTGTAACCTTTCTTTCCCACGTATCAGCTGACTTTTCCACCACATGTATAACTACTACTATCTCTGTTTGTGTGGGCAAAACGCTGTCAATAAAGGATCACATTATACTGCTGCATCTGACTGTGTGTCTGGCAGCCCTGCTGCCAGACACATGGTTGTAAGTTGAGTAGTCATATGTTGTACAGATTGTAAGTTGGATGGTGAATGTATTAACGTAATATATGACATTTAATGCACCTCAGAATGATTATTATTGCGTACTATATTCTTCTTCTTCTTTCAACAAACCGGCCATATCCCACCAAGGTGGGGTGGCCCAAAAGGAAAAATGAAAGTTTCTCCTTTTACATTTAGTAATATATACAGGAGAAGGGGTTACTAGCCCCTTGCTCCCGGCATTTTAGTCGCCTCTTACAACACGCATAGCTTACGGAGGAAGAATTCTGTTCCACTTCCCCATGGAGATAAGAGGAAATAAACAAGAACTAGAAAGAAAATAGAAGAAAACCAAGATGGGTGTGTACATATATGTTTGTACATGTATGTGTAGTGTGACCTAAGTGTCAGTAGAAGTAGCAAGACGTACCTGAAATCTTGCATGTTTATGAGACAGAAAAAAAGACACCAGCAATCCTACCATCATGTAAAACAATTACAGGCTTCCGTTTTACACTCACTTGGCAGGACGGTAGTACCTCCCTGGGCGGTTGCTGTCTACCAACCCACTACCTATATTGTCATTATTAATATGGCATCCTCAAGACTAATAAGACACTCTCAGTGATTTTAACGTGTACCTACACGCCAGCACAGTGTGTAAGTTTATTTAGGTACAGGTACACATAATTATCAGATTATATATAAAATATATGCATGGGAAAGTGGAACAGAATTCTTCCTCCGTAAGCCATGCGTGTCATAAGAGGCGACTAAAATGCCGGGAGCAAGGGGCTAGTGACCCCTTCTCCTGTACAGGAAGGCCCCGCTTTACGGCGTTTCACTTTACGGCGTTCCGCTAATACGGACATTTCAAATTATGACCAAAACTCACTATAAGGCTCCCCCCACCTGACTTTCTAATACGGTCACCGTGCCCCACCCTGTTTGTTTACATTCTCCATGAGCTCAGTAAGCACTAAGTCTCTCCATTTTGTCTGGAAACTCCAAAATTTCAAATGTTTTTAAAAGTTATTTCATATTTTATATATACTCTGATAATTATACTTATGTATACCTGTACCTAAATAAACTTACATACATCGAGTCATTTAAATGTCGTATATTACGTTAATATACACATTTTCATTAATCCATCCATGATAATTTTTTCAAAATTATATAATAAACACGATGCATAACATATAAATAAGATAAATACACCCCACAGTAGAATAAATAAACAAATGTGAGATGTCGTAGCAGACGACTTGCACAAGTGGTGATAATAACAATAACCGAGTCTCATTAAATGTCGTATATTACGGTAATATACACATTTTCATTAATCCATCCATTGATATTTTTTCAAAATCATATAATAAACACGATGCATAACATATAAATAAGATAAATACACCCCACAGTAGAATAAAATAAACAAATGTGAGATGTCGTAGCAGACGACTTGCACAAGTGGTGATAATAACAATACCGAGTCTCATTAAATGTCGTATATTACGGTAATATACACATTTTCAAATTAATCCATCCATGATATTTTTTTCAAAATCATATAATAAACACGATGCATAACATATAAATAAGATAAATACACCCCACGTAGAATAAATAAACAAATGTGAGATGTCGTAGCAGACGACTTGCACAAGTGTGATAATAACAATACCGAGTCTCATTAAAATGTCGTATATTACGGTAATATACACATTTTCATTAATCCATCCATGATATTTTTTTCAAAATTATATAATAAACACGATACATAACATAAAAAGATGATAAATACACCCCACAATAGAATAAATAAACATAAATATAAGATGTGGGAGCCACATAACTTGTACAAGTGACGCCAAGAATAACATTTTCTCTAATCTAACATAAGAGTAAATGTGTTACTGGGGGTAACTGTAGAAAATTATTCCTTTCGTATGTATGTAAGTAAGTTTATTCAGGTATACACAAATACAGTTACATAGATTATCATACATAACAACATACGTGTAGAGAACCTAGGATAACCCAAAAAAGTCAGTGTGACTTATTTCCATTGCCTTCACTCAGAGCTTCATTTCTTCTCAAAATGATGTTACATGAGAATGGGAGTGTTCTTCTTTATTAATTCTACCGTATCAATGTAGAGACAACCTGTACACAATGTAACTTGTACACAAACCAGACGTGTACACTTCGTTTGTTTACAAAACTTACCTTCGCCTGGTTTGTTTACATAACTGCGCCTGCCCCCTCTCATGTATTCATTCTTTCTCTCTCTCATTTATTCGTTTTATCTCATTTACTTACTCCTGACCCTACATTAAGACTACAAATATTTTAAGGTAAGTAATGAGTGAACTGTATATACATTTTATCGCTCTGGGATGCTTAAATATCATAGAATAGTATGTGTGGGTGGGGTGGCCTGGTGAGGCTATTACAATACATACCACACTTGATTTCTTACAATAAATACTACTTGTCTCACCCTAGATTAAGACTATAAATATTTTAAGGTAAGTAATGAATGCACTATGTGTGTATTGTACCTTTTTATTGTTTTTTGATGCCTGGTTCTATTGCTAACTTAATATATGTTAGTGTAAACTTGTTATCTAGTGTTTGTATGCATTTATAAGTGGAAAAAAAGGGTGTTCCACTTTACGGCGATTTCCGCTTTACGGCGGTAGCCTGGAACCTAACCCGCCGTATAAGTGGGGCCTTCCTGTATATATATTACTAAATTTAAAAGAAGAAACTTTTGTTTTTCCTTTTGGGCCACCCCGCCTCGGTGGGATATGGCTGGTACGTTGAAAGAAAGAAGATATAAAATATGAAGTAATTTAAAAACAATAGAAATTTTGGAAAGTTTCCAGACATAATGGAGAGACGCGGTGCTCATGGAGAATGTAAACAAACTGGGTGGCGCACGGTGACTGTATAGAAAGTCAGGTGGGGGAGCCATATAATGAGTTTTGGTCATAATTTGAAATGTTCATATTAGCAGAATGCCATAAGGTGAAAAGCTGTGAAGTGGGGCCCTGCTGTATGTATATATTTTTTTATTAACTTTGTATTTTTACCACACAGAAATACCACATGTTTCTGCACAACACGTTGTGAAGTTGGTGCTAACAGTGCTCAGCAGGAAGAACCCGTACTATTTTGAAAACTTTGCTGGAGACTTCATTCAAATTACATATAAATACCTGATGCGTTTTCCCCAGTATTACTTGCAAGTGACTGCTGCTGAATGGAAAGGTGAGAATGTTCCCTTTGTTTCTAATTTTTCTATTACAATGTTATGTAGCTTAGTCTACTTTTATTTTGATAAATGCTGCCATTCTAGAATATATTTTTCTTTTGGTGTATTAATCATATTAATTGCATTTAGCCCTTAAACTGCCACACATGATGATCAATGGGTGTACATTTATTAACATACACATAGATCAACATTAAAATTCTCTCTCCCTCAAAATGGCTGTGACTGGGAATGTTAGGCCTATGTGGAATACAGTAGGTCAGTGTCATTGCTGTGCACACCAACACAAAATTGTTATGGGTATTACAGGAACAGTTTGCTTCAAGGCATCATACTAGCATGTTTCATGGCATCATACCATATTTCATGGTATACCAACATGTTTCATGGTATGATACCAACATATTTTATTGTATCATACCAAAGTAAGTGTTGTGAGAACCTATGGTAAGAGTGTAAAGTAAAAGGACACAAGTGCAACTAATGTGACATTTAATTGTGGCAACGTTTCGCTCTCCAGGAGCTTTGTCAAGCCATTACAAACAGTACATGGACACAGAGGGTATATATAGGCTCAGAGTGAGGTGCAATACTAGTGGTAGTAGTAGTAGTAGTGATATAAGTTGTAGTAGTAATACAATATGGTAGAACAATTAACTTGCACATGAGCAAAAGGATATAAAAGCTATTACTTGGGTAACATAAAAATAGGTTAGACAAATATTTCTATTGGAGACTGGATAGAGAAGGCCTGTTTCAATGTTCATTCTCTGTAATGTGCTTTGTGTAGTATTACTACTACTACTACAACTTATATCACTACTACTACTATCACTAGTATTGCACCTCACTCTGAGCCTATATATACCCTCTGTGTCGCTCCTGGAGAGCGAAACGTTGCCACAATAAAATGTCAGATTAGTTGCACTTGTGTCTTTTTACTTTACATATTGTCGGTAATTCTACCAACGTTATTACTATGGTAAGAGTTGTCAGAACGTATAGTAAGAGTGTCAGAACCTTGGGTAAGAGTGTTGTCAGATAATAGCAGAACTGATGATGGTAGACTACCATGGGTATTTTACTTTGATTTTTGATGAGTTTGTTTGTACGATTATAGATGCTGAAGTAAGAGATCAGGGTGTCTTCCTCAAACACACTAATACCACTGGAAAATTCTTTGCGAGGCTGCCCCAATTGGTTGAATTTTAATTTAAAATGTAAATCAAAAGCACCACATAAATAAATATAATTTTGTTTTCCCACAGATTTAATGAAGATCCTCATCTGGGCTTATGAGAACGAGCTTTCTGGTACTGATGCTGTGACCATCGTCAGTATAATGGAGAATATTGTCAAATATTGCAGAATGAGAGGAATTCAGCAGAGAAATTACGGTCCTGCACTAGTGCTACGACACTTGCCAGCGTTCTTGAAGAAGGCTTTGTTAAGCAACAAGTTGCCATCACAGTATGGTCTTCAGTCCAGCTTACTCAGTCTTCTGCTTACCTTCACTAAGGCTGTCAGTTACCATTCTCACTACTATATTGCTTTTTAATTAATGCTTTTGAAATATACTCTTTCTAGACTGGATGATTTGTTGTCCATCTTAGTTGTGGTAATTACTTAGTGCCTGTATTGTGAAGGATGAGTTGGGATATTATGGATCAGAGGGTCATTTGAACTACTATGATGTTTATATTCTTCTGGCAAGACAGCTGTTGAAGAAAAGATGGTAAATGTATGTCCTTTGGGCAGGGTTGCAAACTCATGCCATCTAAGTAACTAAATTCTGTTTCACAAATTTCTGAAAGTAACTGAACAAAGTGGGAAAGTAGCTATAGAAGTAGCTTACAATAAAACTTGTAGTAATAATACATAGCATTACTATTTCTACCACAAGGAAATATAAGAACATAGGTTTATAAACTAAAAGAGGAGGCAGTTAGAGTAAGATATAAACAGCTATTGGAGGATAGATGGGCTAAAGAGAGCATAGGCAATGGGGTCGAAGAGGTATGGGGTAGGTTTAAAAATGTAGTGTTAGAGTGTTCAGCAGAAGTTTGTGGTTACAGGAAAGTGGGTGCGGGAGGGAAGAGGAGCGATTGGTGGAATGATGATGTAAAGAGAGTAGTAAGGGAGAAAAAGTTAGCATATGAGAAGTTTTTACAAAGTAGAAATGATGCAAGGAGGGAAGAGTATATGGAGAAAAAGAGAGAGGTTAAGAGAGTGGTGAAGCAATGTAAAAAGAGAGCAAATGAGAGAGTGGATGAGATGTTATCAACAAATTTTGTTGAAAATAAGAAAAAGTTTTTGAGTGAGATTAACAAGTTAAGGAAGCCTAGAGAACAAATGGATTTGTCAGTTAAAAATAGGAGAGGAGAGTTATTAATTGGAGAGTTAGAGGTATTGGGAAGATGGAGGGAATATTTTGAGGAATTGTTAAATGTTGATGAAGATAGGGAAGCTGTGATTTCATGTATAGGGCATGTAGGAATAACATCTTGTAGGAGTGAGGAGGAGCCAGTTGTGAGTGGGGGGGAAGTTCATGAGACAGTAGGTAAAATGAAAGAGGGTAAGGCAGCTGGGATTGATGGGATAAAGATAGAAATGTTAAAAGCAGGTGGGGATATAGTTTTGGAGTGGTTGGTGCTATTGTTTAATAGGTGTATGGAAGAGGGTAAGGTACCTAGGGATTGGCAGAGAGCATGCATAGTTCCTTTGTATAAAGGCAAAGGGGACAAAAGAGAGTGCAAAAATTATAGGGGGATAAGTCTGTTGAGTATACCTGGTAAAGTGTATGGTAGAGTTATTATTGAAAGAATTAAGAGTAAGACGGAGAATATGATAGCAGATGAACAAGGAGGCTTTAGGAAAGGTAGGGGGTGTGTGGACCAGGTGTTTACAGTGAAACATATAAGTGAACAGTATTTAAATAAGGCTAAAGAGGTTTTTGTGGCATTTATGGATTTGGAAAAGGCATACGACAGGGTGAATAGGGGGGTAATGTGGCATATGTTGAAGGTGTATGGTATAGGAGGTAGGTTACTGAAAGCAGTGAAGAGTTTTTACGAGGATAGTGAGGCTCAGGTTAGAGGGAGATTATTTCCTAGTAAAAGTAGGCCTTAGACAAGGATGTGTGATGTCACTGTGATTGTTTAATATATTTATAGATGGGGTTGTAGGAGAAGTATATGCGAGGGTCTTGGCAAGAGGCGTGGAGTTAAAAGATAAAGAATCACACATAAAGTGGGAGTTGTCACAGTTGCTCTTTGCTGATGACACTGTGCTCTTGGGAGATTCTGAAGAGAAGCTGCAGAGGTTGGTGGATGAATTTGGTAGGGTATGTAAAAGAAGAAAAAAGCAAATACAGGAAAGAGTAAGGTTATGAGGATAACAAAAAGATTAGGTGATGAAAGATTGATATCAGATTGGAGGGAGAGAGTATGGAGGAGGTGAATGTATTCAGATATTTGGGAGTGGACATGTCAGCAGATGGGTCTATGAAAGATGAGGTGAATCATAGAATTGATGAGGGGGAAAAGGGTGAGCGGTGCACTTAGGAGTCTGTGGAGACAAAGAACTTTGTCCTTGGAGGCAAAGAGGGGAATGTGTGAGAGTATAGTTTTACCAACGCTCTTATATGGGTGTGAAGCATGGGTGATGAATGTTGCAGTGAGGAGAAGGCTGGAGGCAGTGGAGATGTCGTGTCTGAGAGCAATGTGTGGTGTGAATATAATGCAGAGAATTCATAGTTTGGAAGTTAGGAGGTGCAGGCAGGATTACCAAAACTGTTGTCCAGAGGGCTGAGGAAGGGTTGTGAGGTGGTTCGGACATGTAGAGAGAATGGAGCGAAACAGAATGACTTCAAGAGTGTATCAGTCTGTTGTGGAAGGAAGGCGGGGTAGGGGTCGGCCTAGGAAAGGTTGGAGGGAGGGGGTAAAGGAGGTTTTGTGTGCGAGGGGCTTGGACTTCCAGCAGGCATGCGTGAGCGTGTTTGATAGGAGTGAATGGAGACGAATGGTTTCTAGTACTTGATGTGCTGTTGGAGTGTGAGCAAAGTAACATTTATGAAGGGATTCAGGGAAACCAGCAGGCCGGACTTGAGTCCTGGAGATGGGAAGTACAGTGCCTGCACTCTGAAGGAGGGATGTTAATGTTGCAGTTCAAAAACTGTAGTGTAAAGTACCCTTCTGGCAAGACAGTGATGGAGTGAATGATGGTGAAAGTTTTTCTTTTTCGGACCACCCTGCCTTGGTGGGCATCGGCCAGTGTGTTAATAAATAATAATAGGAAAGAAATTATAATTTCTGAATATTGGTACTCACACTATTATTTATTCTGTATTTGCCCTACTCTCTTGCTTTTATTTTATTAAAGCTTTCCAATATTTATAGCTTATGAACCTGTAGCATTCAATAAATATGTCATAGAATAAATTAATAAGCAGTGTGATTAATGATTAATATCACTTCATACTGGTTTCCCTATTAATATTACTTCATACTGGTTCCCCTACTTACTATGAAATGTGAGTCATTTCCTTTCAACAAACCAGGGGTATCCCACTGAGACAGGGTGGCCCAAAAAGAAAAGCAAAAATTTCTCTTTTTAACTTTAGTAATGTATACAGGAGAAGGGGTTACTAGCCCCTTTCTCCTGGTATTAAAGTCGCCTCTTATGACATGCATGGCATACAGAAGAAGAATTCTGTTCCACTTCCCCATGAAGATACGAGGAAATAAGCAAGAACAACAACAACGAACAAGAAAATAGTAGAAAACCCAGAGGAGTGTTTATATATATGCTTGTACATGCATGTGTAGTGTAACCTAAGTGTAAGTAGAAGTAGCAAGACGTACCTGAAATATTGCATGTTTCTTCTTCTTTCAACGTACCAGCCGTATCCCACTGAGGTGGGGTGGCCCAAAAGGAAAAACAAAAGTTTCTCCTTTTAAATTTAGTAATACATACAGGAGAAGGGGATACTAGCCCCTTGCTCCCAGCATTTTAGTCGCCTCTTATGACACGCATGGCTTACGGAGGAAGAATTCTGTTCCACTTCCTCATGGAGATAAGAGGAAATAAACAAGAGCAAGAACTAGAAAGAAAACAGAAGAAAACCCATAGGGGTATGTATATACGTATATGCTTGTACATGTATGTGTAGTGCGACCTAAGTGTAAGTAGAAGTAGCAAGATGTACCTGAAATATTGCATGTTTATGGGACAAATAAAAAGACACCAGCAATCCTTCCATCATGTAAAACAATTACAGGCTTCCATTTTACACTCGCTTGGCATGACCTACTACCTGTGATTCATGTGTGTCTTCAATTTCTAGCTGTGCCCCTGAGTATAGTTTCTGCTTCTCAAACAGCTTGTACCTATCTGCCCTGTCAATTCCTCGAGAGTATTTTGTATACAGTGGACCCCCGCATAGCGATTTTAATCCGTGCAAGAGGGCTGGTTGTTATGCGAAATGATCGGTATGCGAATGAATTTTCCCCATAAGAAATAATGGAAATCAAATTAATCCGTGCAAGACACCCAAAAGTATGAAAAAAAAAAAAAATTTTTACCACATGAAATGTTAATTTTAATACACACAAACTGAAAAAGGCATGCACAATTACATGACACTTACTTTTATTGAAGATCTGGTGATGATTGATGGGATGGGAGGAGGAGAGAGAGAGTGTTAGTGTTTAGAAGGGGAATCCCCCTTTCCTTTAAGTCTTGAGGTGGCGAGTCCTTTTTTGGGGTTATTCCCTTTTTTTTAATGCCACTAGGACCGCTTTTTGAGTCACTGGACTTTTTTCGCAAAAATATCGTCCATAGTGGCCTCTACCTCTC